ATTATTATTATTATTATTTTGCTATTTAACTTGTAATGCCATTTACTAACAGAAAGGAAAAGTATTTAAAATAAACAACATTTCTATGCAAACAACCTAACAAATCCATTTGTCAAATTGGGCCCATTCAGAGGAAATAAATTGCTGCTGAGATAGAAAGTCCAACACTGGGTACCACTTCCCAACAAACCGCTCCTGTGTTGAATTCTGATGTGTAACATCTAATTTACTGGTAACTGCATCCATAAGATAATGGTTCCACAGTTTTCGATACCAAACTTCAAGCGTTGGTTTTTTGGTGTCCATCCAAAAGTTAGCTATCGTGGTTTTGGCAGCATCCAGCATAACCTCAATAGTTGCTTTATGTGGTCGTTCCGCCAAATCATTTGGCCACATGTTTAAAAAAAGAATTTCAGGTGTGCATGGAATTTGTACCATAGCGACTTCTTCTATAATCTTCATAATTTCTATCCAGAATGATTTAACTTTCATACAACCCCACCAACAGTGGGCAAAGTCCCCTACTTGTTTACACCCTTTCCAAAAATTCGGAGAGGATGTTGAGGTTATTTGCTCAAAACTTTAATGCCAGTCAGCTCACAAAGCAGAATTTTTGCTCACAAGACTCCAGAGCTTAGAGGGAGCATCGCTTAGCACAGGGGCTTGGGTTCATCTAATGCCCCTTTTCAGTATAGCTGAGTCCAACACTCAACCCCAGATCTACTTCGGGGGCTCCTTGCTTCGTTCGGTCCCTGTGCAAATACTGTGAATAAAAACGAATCCCTCCTCTTCTCTCAGGGCCGGAGGCCACCCCGGAAAATGTGGGGGTGGAAGAACTCAACAGCACGGCCCTCAAGCTTTCCTGGAGTCTGCCCAACGTGGAGAAAATCTGGGGCCACCTCAAGGGATTCAAGGTAAAGCAAATATTCAGCTCAGAGAGAGTGGCGTTTCTAGGGTTGGGGGGGGCGCGGCAGGGGCATAAGCAGAAATAGTCACGATGAGCCCTGCATTCGGCACCCGTCTGGCAGCTGTTCTTGAGACGCTGATAAAGGTTGTGTGGCCTTGATAACTAGCCAGCACTTGTGCATGTGGGGATGTCAGGCTGAACTACGGCAGTTGGCTTCCACTGCGAGGGCGAGAGAGGGATAGTCCCGGTCCAGTCCAAGGTCGAAAGCCGAGAGAGCAAGAAACCAAAACGCCAAGTCCAAAGCACAAACCGCAAGCGTAGTCGTCAAGCCAGAGCCCAGGGGGTCAGGAGCCCAAACACCAGAGTCCAGGGCACGAACCAAGAGCGTTGTCGTCAGAGCCGGAGTCGAGGAGCCGAGAGTTCAAAGAGGGAAACAGGAACCGGGAACACGGGCGAGGTGGGTGCAGAGCGTTGTCAAGCTGACTAGTTGCTGGCACAAGGGATTGGCCGAGAGTGAGGAGCTAAATATCCCTCCGGGCTGTTGTCAATTACCGGCCAGCGCACGTGTCCCGGCTCCTTTTAGAACTCAGGGCTGAGAGACCGCCTGCTGTGCAGGCGCGTCTCTCGCTGTCGGGACGCCAAATCCCGCCGGCGCTGATTTCGCAAACGGGCCACTGGTGGGGGCAAATCAGGGGGGGGCTGTTTGACGTGCATTGTTCCGGCTCAGCTGTTGCCAGGTGTAGCTTCTGCCGGAATTGGGAGCTCATCCTCGGCAGCACTCATGAAAGTCAGGCTGATCTACAGCAGTTGGCTTCCACTGCAGAATCTTCTTTGGTGGCCCCCCCATCCTCTTCTACCATCAGGGCCATAGCTACAGTGGGGCTTTGGGGTCCCACCCCCTTTCTTAAAGGCACAGCCCCACAAGAATTTCTCCTGTAAAGTTCTCCTGGATACTATAACATAACCTTACCCAAGCTCCACCCCCAAATCTCCAGGAATTTTCTAACCTGGAGTTGACAACATTACCTTTGGGGAGAAGGAGGACATCTTGCTTCTGCTCAGGTGCATTCTGGGAATTATATGAACTTAAGAACATCAGAAGAGCCCTGCCCCATCAGACCAGTGGTCTATCTAGTCCAGCATCCTGTCTCACACAGTGGCCAGCCAGTCCCTCTGGAGGGCCAGCAACAGGGCAGAGAGGCCGAGGCCTTCCCTTGATAAGAACATCAGAAGAGCCCTGCTGGGTCAGACCAGGGAGTGTCCCTCTAGTCCAGCGTCCTGTCTCACATGGTGACCAATGACAGGCTAGAGAGGCCAAGGCCTTCGTAAGAACCTCAGAAGAGCCCTGCCCCATCAGACCAGTGGTCCATCTAGTCCAGCATCCTGTCTCACACAGTGGCCAGCCAGTTCCTCTGGAGGGCCAACAACAGGGCAGAGAGGCCGAGGCCTTCCCCGATAAGAACATCAGAAGAGCCCTGCTGGGTCAGACCAGTGAGGGTCCATCCAGTCAGGCATCCCGTCTCACACAAGGGCCAGCCAGTCCCTCTGGAGGGCCAGCAACAGGGCAGAGAGGCTGAGGCCTTCCCCTGAGAAGGACACCAGAAGAGCCCTGCTGGGTCAGACCAGGGAGGGTCCCTCCAGTCCAGCCTCCCGTCTCACACAGGGGCCAGCCAGTTCCTCTGGAGGGCCAGCAACAGAGCAGAGAGGCCGAGGCCTTCCCCTGATAAGAGCACCAGAAGAGGCCTGCTGGGTCAGACCAGGGAGGGTCCCTCTAGTCCAGCATCCCGTCTCACACAGTTGCCAGCCAGTTTTTCTGGAGGGCCAACAACAGGGCAGAGAGGCCGAGGCCTTCCCCTGGTGTTGCTACTGGCTCTGGGATTCAGAGGTTTAGTGAGTCTGAATGTGGAGGTTCTCCTCAGTCACCATGGCTAGTAGCCACTGATAAACCTCTCCTCCCTGAATCTGTCTAATCCCCTTTTAAAGCTGTTTATTCCTGTGGCCTTCACTAAAAGAACCTAAGAAACCATTTTTCTTTTGAAAAAATGTTTGCCATCGGAGGTGAAAATTGGAGACACATTTGTTTCTGATGGAGGAAGGTGTACTCTGCACATGCTCAAAGGTTCCAGAAAACAGGGTTTGTTGGCTCTAATTAGGAGATTGAGGGGGGACATGAATGATTGCTCTCTCTAAATATCTGAAAGGCCGTCCTTTGGAGGAGGGCGAGGGGCTGCTTCGAGTTGGCAGCAGAGGAGAGGATTTTTCCCGCCCAAAACAAACAAGCTTACTTCTGACCCTAATGGCTGGAATGTGACCAGCAACTATCCCCTTATATGGTCAAAGAATAATAAATGCCTGCTTCACTGGTGGGCTCCCCTTCTGTGGCAGCTTTCGAGAAGAGGCTGGACGAATATTTGTCAGAGGTGCTTTAGGCTAGTCCTGCACTGGGCAGGGCGTTGGACTAGATGGTCTGTGTGGCCCCTTCCGATTCTATGATTCCAACGGAAGCAGTTGTGAGGATATGGATGGGTGGGGAACTGGGGTGATAGAATCAAATAACCCTCTTTTTCCTTTTCCTCCCCGAGGTTTATTACACCTGGCTAAAGCCCGAGGGAGAGCACAGGTGTCCGCAGCCTCCCCCCCATGGCCACCACCACCAGGACAAACGGGACCCTCTGCTGGTCGAAGGGAATGTGTCTCAGGTCGTATTGGGAGTCTTCAGACCCTGGACCCGCTACCGGATCGAGATGACTGTGCTCAACGGGAAGGGGGAGGGCCCCAAAAGCGAAGCCACGGAATTGACCATGCTGGAGGGAGGTAAGAACCACGGACCTTAAATCTGTCCTCTCGGCCTCCTTAAATCTGTCATCCTTCCCCTCCCTGAGAGCCAGTTTGGTGTAGTGGTTAAGGGCGCGGACTCTAATCCGGGAGAACCGGGTTTGATTCCCCACTCCTCCACTTGCACCTGGCTGGATGACCTTGGGCAACCCATTGTTCTGTCAGTGCTGTCCTTGAAAAAGAACAGTTTCTCTCAGAGCTCTCTCAGCCCCGTCTACCTCACAGGGTGTCTGTTGTGGGGAGAGGGAGGGAAAGGATTTTGTAAGTCGCTCTGAGACTCCTTTGGGTAGTGAAGGGCAGGGTATAAATCCAATCTCTTCTTCTTCTTCTTCTTCTTCTTCTTCTTTTATAAATCCAATGTCTTCTTCTTCTTTTACCTCCCAGGGTGTCTGTTGTGGGGAGGGGAAGGGAAAGGAGTTTGTAAGCCGCTCTGAGACACCTTTGGGTAGTGAAGGGCAGGGTATAAATCCAATCTCTTCTTCTTCTTCTTCTTCTTCTTTTACCTCCCAGGGTGTCTGTTGTGGGGAGGGGAAGGGAAAGGAGTTTGTAAGCCGCTCTGAGACACCTTTGGGTAGTGAAGGGCAGGGTATAAATCCAATCTCCTCTTCTTCTTCTTCTTCTACCTCCCAGGGTGTCTGT